ACCTTTGGCTCCGCCCAGGATTAGGTTATAGATAGGAAAAAAATCCTGGTAAGGGGATTTTCACTGGCAGTCATCTGCATCACCAGGAGCAATCCCTGGTGTCTCTTTTGCAATCCATCACCTTAAAGCACAGAAGCTGGTCTTGATGATTTTTATTTCTGCTGAGCAAGTGCCACAGACCCTTCCACAACAGGGGAGAACATGGGCTGAGCATAGATGGAAAAAGATTTGGCAAATTGTGGAAATTAACTGATCCTTCTTTCCTTTGCACCTGATTGAAATCAAAATCCTGAGCTGAATTTTGGTGGATTCCAGGTGGGCCTCACTCCACCAAGCACTGATTCCTTCTCCAGGGTTCTGTGAAGTTCATTCTCCTGCATCCAGCAGTCAGGTGTTGTTAGCTTCATATGATTAGCCAAGTCTTTTAATATTTACACATGGTTTGCTAATGAATTAGAAACATGGGCTGCTGTTTCTGTTGCATGAGTTCACTTCTCTGATCTCTGTGGATTCCCTTCTGTTACGGAGGATTTCGGTTGTATAACATCATAGAGTTTCAATGCTTCTTTATGAGGCTTAAAACACCTCATCACCTGGTGATGAGGTTTGGCTTGGCTCTTCTTCCTTTGGCTTCTTCCTACAGCGTACAGGTCACACAAGTGATTCCTGGGCGCTGGCAGAATTCACAGACACATTTGCTAGAAGAATCCTGATGCCCGAGCATTGACTGGGTGTTATGTACTAAACATGCTGGTAAAACAAATAATAAAATGCAACTCAAAATGTGCAGCTGGCTTTCCTAACATCGTGCTTTACTTGTTCTGCTCCCAGTTCTCTGCATTCTCCTGCTCCTGGTAACTATTATTATCCCTTCACCTTAATAGCATTCTCACTTCTGCTGCATTGCAAGTTTAGGAAGAAAAACCCCAACAACAAAACAAGCCCCTAATTCAACCAAACCTGTAAGTGTACACAGGGTTGATGGAGTAATAAGAAGCAGCTGTGTTCTTCACGGAGTCAGTTAAAAGCTAAATTTCCCATTTTGAAGGTTTCCTTTGTTAAAGTCCACATAAACAACTAAATTTTGGCTTACAGCTTTGTGTTTCAGCTTTTCCCCCTCATTGTGCTGATGGCAACATCTAGTGGCAAGATGACGTCATGACAGTGCCCTACTTTTGGAAACTGGTCCAGCTCCATTTACTTCTGAGTAAATCTTCATCTTTACTGCCAGGTTGACTTTAGAATTTGAAAAGAATTTGAACCGCAAAGACTTCAATAGTCCTCTTTGCTGGCAGCAGTAAACCCCACCCCCCCCCTTTTTTTTTCTTTTCAAAAGAATATTGCTGGCAGCCCTACTAATAATTTTTGCTGCTCAAGAAAAGCAAATCAAAATAACTAAACAGACTCAGTTTGCTGTAATAACAGAACCGAAGCTGCTGATTTTCATAGTTGAAGTAATGTATCTCCAGTAAAAACTGAGCTGGAATCCTGACACCAACAGTTGTGTAGGATAACATTTTGCATACATAAATCCGTGATTCCTAGATTAAACGAGCTGACTGGGATCTGTCTTCCAGCAGCACTGCTGTCAGATCTGCCAGCTGTGAGTCATAGTTCAGTCTTCAGGTGCACTCACCCAGTAGCTTCCAGTCTTATTGTAATCAAGGATCACTTGGAGAAAAGAAAAAAAGGAAAGGAAAGGAAAGGAAAGGAAAGGAAAGGAAAGGAAAGGAAAGGAAAGGAAAGGAAAGGAAAGGAAAGGAAAGGAAAGGAAAGGAAAGGAAAGGAAGAAAAAAGGTGACTTTCTGGCTGTTTTGCATAAAATTGCATACCTGATTTCTGTCACGTGTACATGGAGTTGGTTTGATGTATATTATTGGTAAATATGTCTGTACTGATGGCAGCCAATGCTTTCAAACCTGTCTGTTGACTCACACTGTTCTGGTTCTAGATGAAAGCTGCTGAATTTCAGGAGCTTTGTGGTAGAATATGTACACATCTCTACCATGTGCCGCCTCCGATTACTGCATACATGTTCCACATTTCACAGGAGCATTGGACAGATCCCCTGCAGACGTGATGAGGATGTTATATGGGATTTCTGGGTGTACAATATCATGGTTGAAGTTACTGTGAAGTTAGCTTTGATTCAGCGAAGCTTTAAGAAATACTGGGCAGATGTAGAAGATCCTCAAAATCCATCCACTTAACATTTTGTGTGAAAAGAGAACACATCCAGAACACACGTATGGTGGTATGAAAGAAAAATAACTTACTAGCAGTTAACCCTCCATTATCCAAGGAAACAGGAGGGCTAGGAAACCAGGAAGCACAGTAAAAAACCTGGTGATACTGGGTGCTGTGGGGAGCCATGGGGATCACTGATGGTCCACCCAAAGCTCTTCACTGAGGCTCCCATCTGCTCGCTGACTGAGGTGTGTGACAGGTACAGTCCATATACACTGTGTCCAGGGTTACTCGAGGAGTTAAGGCCTCACTCTGAAAATCTTATGTGAACAATATAATTATAAAAGGGTATTTCAGTCATGTTCCAGGTTAATTCTGGAATCGCAGAGAGCAGCTTTTCCAGAGGTACTCCCATAAAGCAGGGAAGCAGCAAAAGCCATTTTCCTTACAACTGGGGCTACTGCATTTACAAGGACCAGGGAAACCCAAGTTCAACATCACTCCCGCGCCTGAACAGGGATTTGAGTCCAAATCTCACAAATTCCCAGATAACTAAACTACAAAATACCCAGTAGTAGAGTCTCAATCTGTTCCTGACTCCATTTTCATATAAATTAATGAATACTAATTGAAGCAGAGCCTTTTGGATGAACACACAGTTGAATTGCAATTATAATGGCGGAGTTGTTTACACTCTAACTTCAGCCAAATAAATATTTTGAGGGTTTCACTGCATGGAATAGCTCTAATGTGAAACGGAGAACCCGGCTCTGCTATAAGCTCTGTGCAGAAGGTACCTTGAAGGGGCCAAATTCAAGGTAAAATATAGAAGTGTGAGTATGAACAGAAGATCTGGCAATAATTTACAGGCTGATAGAGGGACATGTTGACTTCTTGGATGATGTTCTGTTTTCTAATTCTGTATTAGTTCTGGCATCCACACTTTAAAGTGATGTTGAAAAACTGGATGATATAGAGAGAAAAAATTATTGAAGATGGGAACTGATGGAATAGTTCAGGTTTTCAAATAGCCTGGTTTATGGTACAGACATCTTTGGAAAGTTAAAAAAAAAAATCCAACTATTTTTAAGGGTTTTTAAAAAAAAAATCTAGCAAAGAAAGCCAAAAAGCCCTGCACAAACACCCAGTCCAGTCAGTGACAGAGCAGTTAAATTAAAACAGCCGGAATGCACTAAAAGAAACAGGTGTTTTCCTGTTTCCAGGCAGGCAGACCCGAGTCCAACTAGTTAAGCCTTAATTTTAATTTCCACTTAACATGAAAGCAACTGGGTGAAGGTCTGTGGGCTGAGGACAGAGGTGAGATTAGATGAATGGTTTAATAATCCCTTCAGCACCTACACCTGATGAATTGTGTCAAGTGTCATTGCCTGTCTCCACACTAGGAACTTCGTGTCGTTTGAATAAACACCATTTTCAACATGTACAGTGACCATTTTTGATTTGAGGAAGGCTGTTTTTCAGAATGCATGTTAAAATTCATGCAGTTTCTCCTCCAGATTTAGCTGTGGAGATTGCTTTGATTCCTGAGGAACTGAACAGTCCCAGAGAAACTTCAGGGTTTTTTTTTTTTGGCCAGACCTGGCAGTAAGAAATTTCATTTCAGTTCCTGTAAGAAGTTTTAGGAGTGAAGATAAAATTCCAGCTACACTAGACAGCATCTTTCTTCTGAAAAAAGTCTGTAATTTAAATTCTGAGTTGTGCAGTATTTACTGCAGTTCATACAAACATCTGTCAGTATCTACGCTCAGCCACTGAGCAGTAGAGAGGCAAAAACAAGAGAGAAATATGTAATACTTCAGGAGTTTGTAAAAAAAACCCCCAAAAACCCCAAACAACAAACCAACCACCTTTAGTTATGCGATAACTGAACTATTTAATGTCCAAAAAAATGCTTATCCTGTGCTCCTGAAACAGCAATTCATCTTTTATAGTGGTGTTTTATAAAACTGCAACCACCTTTTAAAAAATAAAATTATTGAATGACTAGCAAAAGGTCACAGTAGATTTAAAGATGTGGCAGTGAAGTTCCTACTCCCCCAGCCCCGTCCACTGCAGAGGCCATCCCAGGTGTTATTACTTGCAGATACACATTTTAAATAACTCGCAAGCCTTAAATAACAAACACAAAAGCTTTTTCCAATCAAAAATTTTATTGACATTCTCAGCAAATTAATCTAAATTTATGATCTTGGTCTCTCCTTCTTGCCCTTGTACAAAGCCAGCAGAGAAACGTTGGCCACTTTGACAACCTTGAAGCGAACTCCAGGAATGTCACCAACAGCGTGACCCTTCCGACCAAAGCCAGCAACCAGGACTTCATCGTTTTCCTGCAATGAAAGATCACATAGTTACATAAACATTAAACCTGGAACATCAGAAAGTCTGAGGTGTGGCTCAAATTTAAAGAAAGGGCAGAAAAACTGAGGGCTATTGATAGATACAGGTTAATAAACGACTGTTATCCCCTTCAGTGCTCTGGAGAAAGGAAACCCAAGTGGAGGCGTCACTTTGCCCGCAGCAGCACAGCCGAGAACTGGCTTTGCTGAGGGGAAGGACAAAAACATCTCTCACATTTCTTGTCCGCTTCTGCCACTGCAGCTTGAAGATACACAGGGTACAGAACGCCACGAACCATCCCCTACATCCATCAGTTATGTTTCTTTACTTTAATACGCAGCTTTTTATAGCTCAATTACTGAAAATTTCTCACCTCGATGAAGTTCAAGCAGCCATCGTTGGGAACAAAAGCTGTTATCTTCTTGCCGTTCTTGATCAGCTGGACTCTGACGCATTTCCTGATGGCAGAGTTAGGCTGTTTAGCTTCAACTCCACTGAAATGGAAACACAGGGAAATAAATTCACAAAAACCAGTTTGATAAGCTAGCAGATATTCATTACACCATCACAAATTACTGTATTGCTGTGTCCTAAGTGCAAGTTTGTTGTATCAAACCCCAAAACTACGTTACCTATTTAGGGCTACTCAATATACAAAAGCCCAGTTCCTAAACTGAGTAGAACCTGAATATTAATCACCCAAAGACTCATTAAAATCTGGAGGGGAAGGGGAGGGAAGAGAAACACCCTGGAGCCCTGCCAGCGTCCCAATGAAGCTTATAAATTACAGGAGAAAAATAAAGGTCTGAAAAGTAGATGGAAATATTTGACACAAAACAGACTCACAAAATCTATCCACCCCCAAATCCTAAACTGAGTTAACTGATATTTTTATTCTTTTGCTTCTAAATAAGCAGAATTTTTAAAATGACACGTGTATGAGCATTAATGAAAATAATAAAAATAAACCACATTTTCGTTCTAGCACACAGAAACTAACAAAAATGTCGCATGTTACAGGTAGAAAAACCTCTCACAGATTTAGAAAATCAACTGCTTCTTTCTTGAGGTGCCTTCTCAAAGGCCCCATTTTCCGGGACCTTTCCAAGGCGGCCACGCCGGCGGTGGAACCGGCCACGCCGGGGCTGCTCCCCCCAGGACCCGCTGACGCTGCCCGACCCACTGGGCGCAGCTCTACCCACACTTTCTCCAGCACGATGCCCTTGGCGTGGGAGGCGCCGCCGAAGGGGTTGGCCTTCAGCGCCGTGCCCAGGTGGGCCTTCTTGTACTGCTTGTCGTGCCACTTCTGGTCGCGGCGGTGGCTGCGGAGCTTGCGGGCGGTGCGGAGCCCTCGGCACTTCCCTGCGGAACACGGGCGAGAGGAGTGAGGGGGCCGCTCCCGAGGTCAAACACCCCCACCCTCCACCGCCACCCGGGCCTGGGAGGCGGCTCAGCAGCGTGCGCTC